CCTCAGTATCTTTTCTGCATAGAAAGAGCACAATAATCTGTGCAGAAAGAAAAAAACAAGAACATACCATGCTGCCTGGTAACAACAGATTCATGTGATTAGAAAATGAAATATTTTCACAGTTTTAATATGCATCTGCTGATCTAAAATCCTACTAAAATACAGGAATTCAACAAGGAAAAAAGATTGCAATAGAAGCAACTACAAAAGCTCTTGGCAAAGCATGCCAAGAGAAGGGCTTAATGGTTTTGCTTTTTTCTTGATCAACATATACCACTGGTGCTGAATCTACTCACAGGGAGAAAAAAAAGTTAAACATATTTACACTTTCTATTTTATGAACAGACAGATTATCCTGAGTCATCTAGCAGTTTTGAAGTGCAAGCACACTACATTTTATTTAATGTTCAACATAGTATTTTCCTATATCAGTTACTAATACAGCAACTGTACAGTAACTAGTACAGTTCCTAAGTGAGGAAAAAAAATCCCATTTTATACAATGATTACAGTAACCTTTTCTGATATACAATTACTTACATTTGATCCAATAGTTATTCAGTAGCCACTGCTTTGTTAAAATAAGTGAACAAAACTGAATCAAAATAAGCAAGGATTTTTCATAAAATAATGAAATGTGACAGAACAGCATAGCCTTTACCTATCCTTGACAAACTTCAACTCATTATTTTGAAAATATTTACAAATGAGGGCTAATAATATAAGAAACACATTTTTAAGATCCAATTTATTGGCGTAAGACTTGAGCAAATTTTAAGTCAATAAATTCAGTCATTTTCTTCAAATTTTCACATAAGACCTATAAGATAATGATGCCAATCAACTACTCAAAGGTATTTTAGGAACCTGTTGAAATCAGTAGTGTAATTTTATGTCTATAACACTGAAAGACCTTGAAAGCCAATCTGAACACTGCAATCTGGACATTGCAACTTATATCTTAGTTAAACAACCGCATCATACCTTCCACAGTATTATGAACTCTTCTTATCAATGACAACATTTTAAAATATCCTCACGCAGATATAAATCTCATCTGTTGTAAATTAATAACAACTGGACTCTTTAAACTCATCTTATTTTTCTCAAATTTTCTTTAAATATTAAATTTGGACAAAAATATTCATTTCTTCTGTATGGGCATAAATTAACTAGATTGTTTAAAAGAATCCCTAAAAATGCTTCTCAGGTTATGTTTTGTAAATCAGGGCAGTGAAATCATGAGTTTATGTTAAATATTTGGCATTTCGAAGAGTCCACATGTACTAGAGAGAAGCACACCACTAACCTTTCCATTCACCAATGCTATCTGAAAATTGTTGATGTGTGCTTCTGAACAAAAGTAAGTATTTTAGCAAAGTTACTCAGCTCTCTAAGTCACTGTGAAAAATTATACTACTTTGATACAGTGCAGCAAGGTTTTCTGTCATTTTAGTACCTGGCCTGAGAATCTTCTTAAGATACATAAAACAAGAAAAGGAACAAACCCCTTTCATTCTCTTCATTGAGTTTCAATGCAAATGTCCAGCAAACCCCCATTCATTCTCTCATACCATGAGGTTTGAGGAAAATAAATTGCAGGCTCACTATACAATTAGTTTGAAAAATGGACTTCACTTGCTGCCAAAAGAGAAGAAAATAGCACAAGATGTATGAATATTTTATCACTGCCAAATGGAGTTAAGAAGAGGTGGCTATAAAGACAAGTGACCTACAGCACTATAAATAAGTTGAGTAAGAATAATTCTAGTAAACCAAGTAATAGGTTTTCAACCAACAATTCAAAACAGAAACTCAAAACTTGCTATACAGAAATACAGTTATCTCTCTACAGTCTCTTACAGACTAACTGAAGTTTCCTCCAAACAGACTAAATGCCACCAGGAGATGTTCTTTATACATATACCCCTAAACACTGACTTTTACAAGCAAGTCCTGTGGATCACAGCCTCCAAACTAATAATCACTAAATGGAAAACAGGGTGAACAGGCCCTTCCCTCACAATATTTAGGTCTATGGTTTCTAGAAATCGAGTTAATTTTATTGGCTATTTCTCTTTTTTAGCATAAAGTCAATGTTTGACATGTAATTCTGAGCTAGCTTGTAATACTGTTGTCAGATGATGTTAATTACTGTTATAGGAACAAATAGGCTCTTCAGTACTAGAAATTACATAATATCTGGGTAAGGAACAGAAAAACATCTATATTTCATTTTCAAGAATCTCACACATGGGGGGAAAAAAATGAAACACCAAAACAACAAACTGCACAAGAAGGAAATACATGATCATCTGATCTCACAAAAAAAAGGTACCTTGCAGTTAAAAGCACAAATAAATCTAAATGACAAGAAGTATGGATGAGGAACTTGGTAACCACCATTCAGAAACAAAATTTTTCGTCGCCTCTTCAATATTCAGATCTAAAAAATAATCCTGGAATAATCATCATGTTTCTGCTTCCACTGAAATGAAGGGGAAGAAACCCCACCTTAAGCACAGGCTCCAGCCTGTACTCAAGAGATGAATTTGCTGTTTCACAGAGACCCTCTGAACAAAGAAAACAAGTGCAGGTGTGACAGAGGTCTGAAATGCTAGAATTGCATAACTATTCTAATTATTTTCCAGAGGGACTTGACCAAGGCACAACAAAATCTTCTACATCTCCAATCAACTTTGATTGAAAATTGATAGCAGATATAGGACTGAATAGGATACAGGACAGATATAGGACTTGGTAATATGCACAGTTCCCCTCTTATAAATTAAAGGGATGAAATGAAATCCATTTCAGGAGGAATATCCTGACAAGAAAAAAAAGGGGGGTGGATGGGGAAAGAGAAAGAGGACAAAAGAGGATGAGGAAAGACTAAACTGTCAATTATCAAGACATTCTTGTAAGTACAGCTGATCTTCAGACCAATTACAGCTGCAACTGAAACTCAACTGCAGCTGTTCTGCTTTCCAAACTAAGCTGGTTGATAAGCAAAGCTTCCTGAAATAAACATCTACCCGACTACAAGACTTGCTGTACACAAAGACTGGGCAAATATCTCACAGTTACTGCTTTGAACGGGGTGTAATCTTTTAAGCACAACTTTTGAACACATGTACTTGGTATAGAATGCAAAATGCATTGCTATCTTCACAGGAGATTAAATGCACAGCCTAACCAGTATCAAATATTCTAAGATATCTAACTATTATGTCCAAAAACTTGGACAAAAAAATCCAAGCTGACCACCAAAATTACCCCCTAAATTAATTCACTGAAGAAATTAACATAAACAGTCCTTATTTTCGTACCAACAACTCCTCAAAGCAGAAGCAAGGAGGAAATGAGTAACTAATAGAGAGCATATCCTTTTTACAGCTTCATTCTGAGCATCTTTGAGAACCTCAGGAGAGGAAAAAAGCCCATGTTTAACCATTACCATTATAGTCAGTACTTAGTCTTCAGCTATCCTGCTTAACAAAGCTCCTGAACAAGAATATATTAAAGGCACTCAGAAGAAAAAACTCTCAGAGCTTCTACTGCATGTCAAATTTCTCTCAGACATTCAACTTTCACAGAGTTGTTTCACTGAATCAAAACCAACATTGAACCTAGTGCTGCAAGAAATCATTAATTTTAAATCTTAGGAAAAGTACTGACCCTATACAAATGTTATTTCATCTTCCCATTGCTATTAAAGAAGTATCCTAGAAACACTCAGCAGGCTGCTCAGGGCTTCTCCCACCACAGCCTGGAGCATGGATTCTGCAGGCACAGACAGAAAAGCTTGCATGTTGATGCTAAGATTACATGTACAGAGAAACTTAAAAGTCCAGGGAACTACAGAATTGACTGGTTTATAGCCTTCAAGCTCCTCTTTTATAAAAGCTCTGTCCTTCCAAAAAAATTATTACAGACTAAAATTTTACATGCTGCAATTCCAAATCAGTGCCAGCAACAGCTACAGACATTAGTTCAGAATAATAACTTCATTAAAAAGACCCAACTCTAAATACTGATAGAGAAAAGCAGCAGAACTAAATGATATGAAATGTATTCAGTTATCATTTCTATCAAATGTACAGCAAAGTGTGTAGACCACCACCTTTTTAAGCAGTGCTGACTTTACTGAGAAATACAAGCTTACAAGAGTCAAGGCAGAACAAAAGATGCAAAACAAAGGTCATGGAACCCATTTACATGGCACCTTATAGGCAAAATAAAGAAGAATTTCCTTTCTAAATGAAGTCCTAAAGTCAAACACCTAAGCTGTAATACAACAAGAGACATATTTCTCCTACATATTGGTTTGAAAACATCCTTATACACTACCTGACAGAAACAAGTTTCCTACAATCTTCCACACAGTACCTCAGTGCATTTGAACAAGGAGGTTAACCCCCTTCCAGCAGCTTGTAACAACAACCAGCATGTATTTTCCAGAGATGCTGGAAAATAACTCTCCAATGCAAGCTAGGAATTAAAGCAAAATCCACTGGAGACATTCTCACTCCAGCTGGAAAATTACACAATCAAGTCAAGAGTAAAGTATTACATAGAGAATGACAACTGAAAAACTTCCAGGTAACTGGACATGATTATCAGTAAGACCTAAAGCCTAATGCCAGAGACTAACAGAAAACAAAAAGGAATCTCTGTTTTCTTTGTGTGCATTGTGGACTCAAAATTCAACCTAATAATAAAATCTCTTTAAACATGTGCTGTATTAAAGATAACAGTAATCAAACCTGAAATACAGAGGTAGCCTTAATAATTATGGAAGCCAGTTTTCCAGATAACAGAATGTTCCTGCTATTTGCCAGTAATATAAAATAGAAAAGGCCAATCTTCAAAACAAAACCATGCATTCTTAGAAGCCATTAAGTGAAATAGTTATGAAGCAATTTTCTGTCTAAAAAAGTAAAAAGCTATCTGTAATCTACCAGCAGTGAGAGGACTAGCTATCATAGGCACTAGGATACGTGTAGAGTTCCATGTATCTGGATTTTGCCATACTTTGTCTGGTGTAAACCTGTTGAATTCCAGCTCTTAGGTCATCCCATATCTGGTCAAGACCAATCTGTTTAAGTCCATGCGGGTTCTGACTCCTATTCGATGACATTTTGTATTTCCTGTAAAGTCTTCCAGTGCAGCAGCCTGAGCTCTTGTTATTCCTCCATCAGAATCACAAGTCAAGTAACATTCTAAACTCAGTTGCAGCAACTCAGCAAGATATTCTTTATGCACAAAAAGTGATGTTTCCCAGGAGGATAACCTGCAACAGGAAAAGAAAACATACACGTTATATGACAGTCTAAATTTATCCACACTAAAGACGCAAAATTTATTATTTCATTGGAATATTGTCGTTTACACAGATGAGAAATCCATCTTGAGATGTGAAATACTAAACCCAAGGAACATAATTTAGCAATTCACCACAAAATGAGACAGTTAGTACCCAGAGTTATCCAAAGGCTGTGGGTACTTAGATCAGTGCAGCTGACAACAAAACTCTAATACTAACAACAAAACATAAGAGCAAAAAGCTTTCCAAGGAGCAGACACTATCTACCAGCAAGTGTAAATAGCTCCTCCCCATTCAACAGTAAAACTCCAGTACTTCTGAGCAACTCTGGGTTCTGTGGTAGCTCATTGTTTAACAAACACCCTTATGGGTATCAAAGATTCACCAGAAGATGCTACAAACAACTTTTTCTTCAGTTATCAAAAACTCTTCCAATCTTGTACTATTACAGGCAACCTGAAAGGCCAAGGCATTTTGGTAGCAGAGAATTTTTCTATCTGGCAATCATGGGCTCACATTTATTTCTTTGCTATGTAGAAGAACACCACTTCCTTCAATGGCATTTTACCAGCAAGAGAACATACAGTCAATAATGGCGGGAAGAAAGAACTACTAATAGGAGTACACAGAATAAATACTGAATGAATTGTGAATGAAACAATCAGAAAGTAAGAAAATGCACTATTCCCATGAGTTTTAAGTGCACAAATTTCAGGACATAGTGAAATGATGGCTACGAATTCATCAGCATCATGATATTATGGTGAAGGAACACATTCACCTGGAAAGGTCAACTGAAAACTTCAAGCAGAGATGATCCATTTTTACATAAGTCCATAAAAATACATTTGCAATTTTAACATGTCTTATCCTCCAAAGCAACAAAATGAATATCAGAAAATGACAATGTCAAAAATCAGCCCACAAATAAGAGAGATGTGCTAAGGACCAACTTAATCTTACTGGAGTCTTCCCATTCATACAGGGAGCCTGTAAGAAAGACGGAGAAAGACTTTTTACTGGTAACTCTAGTTACAGAAGGGTCAATGGTTTTAAATTAAAAGAAGGTAGATTCAGAGTGGATATAAGGAGGAAATTCTTAACTGTGAGGGTGGTGGTGAGACATTGGAACAAGCTGCCCAGTAAAGCTGTTGGATGCCTGGTGTTTAAGGCCATGTAGAAAGGAGCTTTGAGCAATCTGATCTAATGGATGGTGTCTCTGCCCAAGATAAGGAGACTAGACTAGATGATTCCTTCCAGCCCAAACCACTCTGTCATTCTGCACCCTAGAGCTCACTGACTGGAATACTCAAACCATAGTGAAACATTATGGCTTTCCATTTTTCTACAGACAATACAACTTTATGATAAATCTGTCATCCATATGAACCCTTCCATAATTTCAAGAAAATACAGGCTGAGATCAAATAAACCCTATTATTTGTTCTTAGTCTCTGAGCAGCAGAAAATAAAATATATTCTACAGTTATGTCATAGGTGCTTTGTCACAGCCACTTCTAGGCTATTCCATGTTCCACTCCAGGCTTTGCTGAGTTTTGAAAATTAAGTATTCTGTTATACCCTCCCTGACTTCCACCCAGTTATCTGAAGTTCTCTTCTGCCTTTTCTCCTGAACCCTAAAAAGACCAACTGAGATGGAGGCATTTTTTCATTTTTTTCAGTCAGTGACTGTCTTACTACAGTAACACAGAGATTACCTATCCTCACAGTCCTTTGCTTTCCCATTACCCATACACATTTCAATCTCCAAATCCAAGTAAAACCACCGAGAAGTATTTTTATTATGTGAGTCTCAGCAACAAGTACTGTCTCATTTTAATCTGACATACAACTGATTATGTGGCTAGATTTATTTTTTACAGGGGAAACAGTTACTCAGAGGATTAGATGGAAAAGCAAGAATTCAATCAATATACATCTTAGAAAACACACACCTAAAATTCAACCCTGCCATTTTCTGTTTCTCTAATCACAGCAAGCTAGTTATTAAAGGCATACAACAATCATGCATCATAATGCTGCAGTGTAATCTAGATCATACCTTGCTTGTATTTAACTTCTTTAATTTCTGGAAACCAAACCTGCTGCAGTACTACTGACGATGGACTTTCAGGACTGAGCAACAAAAGCCAGGAAGAACAAAGGTCCACGAGTGGCCATTCACCTCCACTGAGGGAAATATTCTGTGTATGTTACACACCCACAGACTTGGACTGTGATCCTAAGTCAGCATTGCAATAAAAGCAAGAAAATGAATTCCATGTCTACAATCCAGGAGAGCAGAAACACTTTGATTTCTTAGATCTGTTACTAAAGGAGACATGGTTCTGAATCTCTAAGGCCACAAAAACTGCCGTACGTGTGAGAATGAACTGACTGTCACTTGCTTATTAATCTGCCAATACACATTTTGGTGTACTTAACACAAAATACTTAATTGCTTGTATAAGAGCTTCTGACAAAAGGCCAACGCCTTGCTAGCTAGCAGAAAGCATAGCCAGCAGATGTTGAGTTTCCCCTTCTATGACGATGGAAATATTTAACTCTCCTCTCTAACTAAACATCTCCTAGTTTTATGTACCCTGGTGCATCTATGAGTACTACCTATTCCCAGAATCTTTTCAACTCAAGGTGTTCCTCATTCACCCTCCCTTTCCCCTAAAGGAAACCTCTGTATTTAAGTCAGGATGTAGCTATTAAAAATGCTATGAAAAAGAACACTTTTGGGCTTTTTTTCACATGCAGTCCACTATATAAAAATATTATTTATATGTCATAATTCCACCACAATTGACACTACCTCACTATCCTCTGGTTGGCATTCAATTTGAATTTTGCAAGTAAACACATGGATACAGAATGACAGTAGCATTTTGCTAACTTCCTAGACTCAAACAATTTACTTCTTCCAGTTAATTACTACTTAACATTAATCAGAAAATAGAGCAATAGATTAATAATTATATAAGCCACTATCAATTTCTTCCAGATTTATTTATGTGCAAAAAAAATAGAAAGGTGATTATTAATATATTACTTTAACAAGAATAGAATTTCAATCGCATATTTATGAAAAGAACTATCCATACTTAGTGGTTAAACTAAACTATGGTATTAAATTTATAGGAAGAGCAGGGGTAACACAAGGCTTTGTTACTTGGCACAGTTGTTATTACACACAAACATTTGATATTCTATTTCATGTGAAAAGTGCTATTATTTGATTCACACACAAAAACCCTTTCCTAGGCCAACAATTCTGAAAGGTCAAATCAAGTCCACAGCAGTTATACTGCATCTCTCCACCCAACATCCCAATTGCTACAAAGAGGGAGAAAGAGCTCCTAAGGCAGATTTCTCAGTGCCCAGACTGCACTGCCTGAATTCAAACCTCACCATTAAGTCATGACCTTTAAATCAGTGAGGTCTCTCCCTTGCAAAGTGCTCTTGGCAGGACTGTGCACAAGCTGGTCTTGAACTGACCATCACTGAGCTTTCTGCCCTAACAGATCAGACTTGCTGCTGACCTGCTTCAAGGATAAAATCAGGTGCCTGAGTTGCAACATCCACTCTGCAGCTTTGGACCAGAGAACCCAAACTTCATTATAGCTTCAGGAGCAGCTATATTTGCATGAGCAATATCACCCCTACAGTTTCCAGACAACATATGCACAATTTGATGCAGCAGGATGATAGTGTTCAATGCCAACCAATCTTTCAACCCTGCACTCAAGTACTGCAATTAAAACAGTCCAAACAAAAGAGGTAACACTTTTGCCAAAACTTTAAAACAGCCTTGAAGGACTTAAATGTTACTCCCACTTTTTCATTACTTAGGGACACATATCATGATAGATAAACATGATATGCAAAGAAACACACTGCATTAGAAAATACCGGGCTTGTTTTTATTGATAATCTAATAATAGTCTTTTTTAGATATCCCACCTCTTTGGAAAATAATGTGCATGCTGGAAGAGGCCTTCAGGAAAATGTGAAAGTTAACCCATCTTTTATCTAAAAAATGTAATGGATCCTACCACTTTTCAGCATCCCAAGCCATCTGCTGGAGTAAACACCTGATTTTTACATCCTAACACAACACAACTTTCAGCTTTACAGCCCCAAGGCCTGTGCATCACCTGTTGTTCTCCCACAACCCCTTATTTCTAAATTACATACTTCAAGATAGTTTACTTCAGTAATTACAGATAGAATTTGAACTTGTCAGCTTCTTGCACAGTAAGAACTCAGAGGTTCAGAACAAGGTTTCCCAGCTGATGCAAGAGCCCAGATAACACTGTTTTAAAGATGCAATAAAGAGGCACAACCTCTAGACTTATTTTATCTGTTTAACTTCATGTATGAGGATGTCTAGCAGCATGAGTTTAAGTGACCAGAGTTAATCACACTACACCCAAACCCATTTGGGAAGAGAAGCAAGTTTCACTAATAAGCTATGGTGGAACGAATATCACTAAAAATAAGTTTAGAAATTTCATAATGCTGAAGGTTTTTGAAGTATCTTGACTTCAGCTGATGTGTTAGCATTACAAGCTCTACACTGTAACATTGCTTAGTTGAGCCATAGTCCTGCATGCAACATTATATAGCACTCCCATTTCTGTCCAGAATTATTTTAGGCCACTAAATATAAAGGCTATGAGCTAGGTAGACAATTTATGCACTTCACATGACACAATTCTTAAAGCAAGACTAGGAACAAGGATAATGTCCTTAGCACTTCACATGCTACAAATGTGTAATTAATCAACATCTGGAGAATTTGCCTATAGCAGACATTTTCACTGTGCCCCCACAAAATGACACTATTGTAAAAAATGGTTATTCTAAAAATCAATACCAGAAGAGAAATACTAGAATTTTTTCTCCCTTTTCAACAAAGATATTTAATAGATAAATGACAAAAATTACAATGTTCAGTT